TGGTAGACACAACACATATTCAAACCCAGGAAAACTTCTGTGTCATTTTTTTTACATTGTCACAGCAGTGTATGTATTATAAAACAACAAATATTCGAAAAATTCGTCGTCACGACGCTGTGCCCTAACTGTCATCATAAAAGGGATCATAAAAATGCATTGCGTCATCATTTTCTGGGGAGTTCATAGTTTTAACAGTAGGAGTTTCTTGGAAAGGGGTCGTTTAAACGGAAACTTCATGACTGATTTGTCGCCTTGCTTCGTTACAAGAGAAAGCTGACTGTTAAACATTGTTCGTTGAATGTTCTTTGAGAAGTATTTGTAATTTAGCAGAGTTCATACTACAAAGCTACAGATAGGGGTGATTTTGGATAAGTGTGTATTGGGTATCAGTCTGTCCGGAAAATAATGGGAATTTTTCATTGAAATCTTTTGTTCGTCAAAGGCGAGGCATTTTGCACATCGAATCCCCAGCCGCGGCTAGTCAGCGAAGAGACATGATAGGTGATTCTCATGCTCTAAAAACACACATTATTTTCCCGACACAAAGATGATAAACTGGTCAGTGAATAGGCCGAGTGATAGGTGTCAAAAATCACTGTTTCTGTTCCATTTTAATAACATAAATTCCTCGCTCCTGCACTTTGCAGAAACAACGTTTTACACCCGACAATTGGCGAAAATTTGGTAATTTTTTATGAGTTTATCCATCAAAGGCTTTTCAACGTTCCTCCATGAAAAATTTTACAAAAACGACGACAGAAATATGGCAAAAAGTGTGCTTCTTTTTTCTGCTCTCCGTGTTTTGTGAGCGCTCTCGGCCGCTACGATCGTTGAGTATCTCGGATGTTCCCGCAAAGTTGGAGCTAAAATTCTTAGAAATTGATAAGTGGCCTGTGAAAAAATGGCTTATTCTTTCCTTTCAGTGCTACTGGTATATCGTTAGTCCGTTTGCAAAGCCACTAGAGCCACTTTTGCGACATGCACTGTGAGCAAACAAAGAAGTGGCCTAGCACTGTGCAATAAGTTTTTCGGGCTGTAGCTCGTCCTGACTTTTCTTCCATAGTGTAAACGCCAAAAATACTCCAGCGACTTTGCCAACAGCCTGTGTAAGTAATATTATTAGCAGAAATAAGGTTTTAATTTCCACCAAAATTTTTGTCGCAAATAAATACTGAAGCCAAAATATCGCTGTCATTAAGACCACGTTGATCCTTGCCATCATTTTTGTATGCTTATCACACAGCGCAGTGCCAATTGCCTTCCACCCGAAAAAGCCTTTTAAATGGTCACAAAACCGCTGAAGCAACGAGCCTACAGACGTTGTAAATGGTTGAACTTTTAGCCCAAAAACTGTAGGCTTCTTGTGCTCTTTGTCTGGGCGAGTTTAACAACCGTCTAATTGAATAGTGTTTTCGACGGTAATTGGGAATTTTTTCGTTTTTTAGAGAATTGTAGTTTATGGGAAGAGTTAGATTGTTATGCTTATAAAGCCTCAGGCCAAAATATTGTAATCTAGTGATTGAGGCATCAGAATTTGCATCGTTTCAGCGCTACAAAATATTCGTTTCTGCTCCAAAAACATAACTGAATTACGGTAGATTAGGTATAGATTAGGTCGCAGGGCTTCGGTTAATTTACACTTTGCTTATAACAAGGTTTGAAGAGGGCAGTACGGTAGCTAATAGTGCGAGAAAAGTGTTTACATTCTGTCAGCTGAGAGTGTAAAGTCGATTACAGAGTTTCGAAAATTGAATAAAAGTTTGTAGTGAGTTTAATACGCAATGCGGTTTTGCTATTAAATATATAAGAAAAGTCATCGACACAAACAGAGGTAACAGTTGAGACTGAGATGTAACACTCTTTATTAGAAATAAATAAAAGCGGGTTGGATTTGTTTAAACTACCGTAATACAGTGGGAACCTGATCCAGTGGCAAAAAACGTACCATTTTGCATCCGAGAAGTATCAGAAATGTGGCATAATGCTGCCCTCTCCAAGTAAAAAAACTCCGATTTCAAAAGCGCGCCCGCTGTTTTTGTGAGGCTGATGGCGCGCCCTTCAAAACGATTTTTTTTCACTTGGAGTGGGAAGCATTTTGTCACATTTTCGATTCTTTCTGGATTCAAAATGGTACGTTTTTTGCCACCGGATCAGGTCCACCATTGTAACTGCTTTTGAATTGCCCATTTAACGGACTGGAATACGAAGTATCGAGGAGTTTTTGCTGTCCTCGTCGTAAATAACAACGACTTTTCAATACCCCAAAATATTATGGGGTGTCTGTCATAAGTCTTGCAAATTCTTGGGTTTGAGACACTTCCCTCCTTCATGTTTGGAACCCAACCTGCGCCCTGACACGAAGAGGTCCTGAGCTTTGGCATTGTGTCACAAAATAGAAGAAGGGTGGATTCAGAAGGAGGAGGAAGATCCGTGGAAGAGTAAGAAGCCTGAGCGTGGAACAGGATTTGATACTATAGTTTGATATCTGCGGCCATTGCTTTGGCCATTACATATTGTGATTGGAGGAGAGTTTTGAGGATAAACGGATTTGTGGTTTATTCGGTGATCGTTTGTGTTGATCTTTGGGCGTTTGTCCCCTAGATATCTTTCGGGTAAATACACTGGAATTGGTCGAGTAAGCGGCTAAATTTTCAATTAACCTCTACGGTAGAAATAGGCAATTTTGAAGGCCAAAATTCGCCAAAAAATGACACATTTTTGCCAACCTTACAGTACTCCAAGTGCGACGCTCAGATTTTGATGAAACTTGGCACAAATTTAGAATAATTTTTTCTAAGATATATCCGAGAATCCTAGCTCGCGCTTTGCAGAAACAACCGAGATTTTTAGATCGAAAGTCGGCAAAAGTTTACGACCTTTTGCCGAATTTCGGAACGAAAAGTTTCATGCCTGTTTCTACCGTAAAGGATAATGTTTCTACAAGAAATCAAATTTTTCCGCACGAAACTGCCAAAGTTATGGCCAAAAAGCGTTCTTCTCTCTGACCGCTCTCCACGTTTAGCGTGCTCTGTCGGCGGCAAAAATCGTTCGATATCTCGGCGGCGCCCGCAAAGCGCGAGATAAAACTTTCAGGAATTGATATTTAGTCCATACCCGACATGTGTGCAAAATTTAAAGGAAATCTGAGCGTCGCACTTGGAGTACTTCCCCTGTTAATGTAAAAATATCGGTCGTTTCTGCAGCGGCAAGTATTACAAACTCCTCTTAAAAAAATCGTCTTAAATCTGTGCCAAGACTGATCAAAACCCGAGCGTCGCACTTGGTACCCTTGTCACCGGAACCGCCGCTCCGTAACCCCACCATCCCACGCCAACACAACCTCCTTCTCTACCCGGCAAATGATACCCTCAGAGTGGGAAAGTAAGTGGAGCATCAAGATGCGCGGATTGCGGAGGGGTTCTAAAAATGTCGAGCTTTATCTGGCGCAACTACTTTATTTTATCGGGAAATGACGGGAATTTGCCCTGATTTTTTGGTGGGTTTTGAGAGAGGAATCGGCAAAAGTTCGGGAAATGCCCAGGGCTTTGATTGAGTTGACTTTGCAATAATGATTTCAGATCCAGAAAGTCTCTAAAAATGAAATATCCAATGAAAAATAAGCAAGTTCACAACGAGTAGCACAACTTTTCGATCTCAAGATCCGTCATGTCGACAAGATAAAAGAATTTCTGAGTTGTCTCCCGGAATGCTTGAGATTATACTTTCCGATACGGTGAGTTTTGTCCTTGACACAACGCAGAAGTCAACGTCATCAGAGCTTTTTGAGGGTGTTCGTCGTTTGCAAGGAAAGGATGTTTAATGGCCGCGACAATTTTCTCATCAACAAGATCAACTACAACTGGGCTTGGCCACAACTTTTCGTAGTAGTCCTTCCGGAAAGTCGCCGGACTGATTTTTGGCGCTTTCACCGTGTAAAAATTTCTATTTTACAGGTGCGAGCGACGCCCGAAAAAAACCTGTTGCACCGTGCAAAAAGCAAGAACTTCGGCAGCGCAAAGAAAATTTTTGTTTTTGCACATTGCGTGTCGCCGATTTCAGTCCGATGATTTTCCGGAGGAGCTAGTGTCTTCTCGAATATTTGAGTTTACAGAAAACTGAATAAAATGGTCCCAAAGAAGAGAAACCGGAGCCCCAAAATGTCTTCCAAATTTGCTGAATGGCCAGCAGTTTGGATCGTTTTGACTCCATCACATATTTTAAAATTTCCAAAAAATTTTTGCAATTTTTGTAACTTCAAAAGCTTTTTTGTTGACTTTGGGTTACTACGCTTGCAGCTGAGAGACGAAAACAGCCTACCAATCTGTCGGGGAAATAATGAGCGTAATGTCGCTGCTCCGATCGCCTCGCTGAAGTAAAAAGTTATTTTGCCGCAACACAATTCATTTTCTCGGCAGCGATGCGATTTCCGATGCGACAGAGTGCTCATTATTTTCCCGACAGACTGCTTACAAAGCCTTTTTTTTCATCAGCCGGCAGAGGCCAGAGCAGAGATTGAAAGCTCCGGATAGTCTGGCCCGGCCAGTCTGACCACTTTGTTGCCTTCAGCATGCGTTCAAATGGGATCAATTAGCCTTGCCGGTCCGGTTCTCAGAAATGGGCGCCCTATAGTGGCCCGGACAACCACTGATAATCCAAAGCTTTCATTCCGTCCAACAACTTGGGCGGAAGTCCTCTTGATTAAAGCCTTTTGTCATACCCGATCCAACCGCGCCTCCCTTTAATCTCCCGTTGTCCGCTATGCGGAGGCTTAACCCGAGATGTTGTCGGGGGTACCACTCTTTTCCCAACTGATCCGCCCTGTCGGCGAGATAAGGTTCCCGAATCTCGCCACCGAAGGAGGGGCTTGAGATTATGCTTCCAGATAGTCCCCTCCCTTCCTTCCACCCACTCCCCTCGATCCATGTTCCGCGCTATAAAGCCGATGAAGTTTCCGAAAGCACCCTCCATTCATCGCCTTTCGTTTGCCACCGGTTACAATGCCAGCGGCGGTGCAGAAGATGTGCGGCAAGTGTCGGCAACACGGTGTGATCCAGGCCTACAAACGGCATCAGAACCGATGTCCGTTCATTGAATGCGATTGTGAAAAGGTAAGGAGGAGCGGATTGTAATTGATTTTTGAGCGATTTTTTTTTGAGGAATTTTGAGACATTTTGAAAAAAAAAAATTATTTTTTCCTCGAAAAATTTGAAAAAATCAAAAAAATCTCAAAATTATTTTTTCAACTTTTAACTCATAATTTCCCCATTTCCAGTGCCATCAAGTCGACGACTACCGAAAACGGATCCGCGAGACCGTCAAGCGGCTGAAACGACGAAAAAGCGAGGAGAAGAAAATGGCCCAAGACCAGCTTCAGAACACTCCCTCTACCTCATCACTGCATCCCTCTTCAAACTCGGCTTCATCATCGCCTTCGAGCGCCGTTTCCACCTGCCCCAGTCCCAGCGACGAGGGTTTGTTCTTCAGCGACGGCTTGGTGAATATTGCCTCAACCCAAGAGCCCATAAAATTCATCGCTTGCAAGCCGATCCCGCTGGCCCTGCTGAGCGGCGCAGACGTTGGAATGGTGCAGCCATGCCTGTTGAATGAATGTCTAATTAGTCCGTCGACCATGTTGGAGATGCTACTGCAAAACGCGTTGACGAATCAGTCTTAAAATCGGGTCAATTTTTATTTTTTATTCTGTACATAGCTTTTTAAGAATTGTTGGCAAATAAACTGCAAATTGAGCAAGTGAATCTGCTACTACTCATATTCAACTGCATGCGTGAAATGCTGGGCTTGCAACATTTGCGGGCGATCGATATTTTAAATTTTGACAACTATTCCAGCCATTTATACACCAGGAAACTTAATTCGCAACATCTAACCGACAAATTTATCGTTATATTGTAATTTAATGTTGTAAGCAGAACATACCCGCAGAATCTCCGTGGCTCTCCTAAAGTGAGGGACGGGATCCTGTCGAAAGGCCCTTTTGCATCCCGGAAGGGAACAAAATGTCTCCCAACCCTTCCCTTCTCTAAGCTAAAGAACCCCGATTTGAAGAGCCCGCCTTGAAGGAAAGGGCGCGCTTTTCAAAACGGAGTTTTTTAGCTTAGAGACGGGAAGGGTTTGGAGTCATTTTGGCCCCTTCCGGGATGCAAAAGGAGACGTTTTTTGCCATTGGATCAGGTCCCTTACTGTAGCTGCCCGCTAACTGTTTGCCCGCAAGTGTGGGCCCGCTAACTGCTCTTGAACTCATGATTCAGAAGAAACTTGGTAAATCAAAAGCTGACGTTTGTGTTGCACCTGATATCACACCTCGCGCCGCGATTCGGCAAAAAGTGTCAAATTTGCGCCGATTTTCGATTTAAAATCTCGGTCTTTCCTGCAAAGCGCAAGCTAGGATTCTCACATACATTTTAGAAAAAAAATTTTCAAATTTGCGCCAAGTTTCATCAAAAACTGAGCGTCTCACTTGCAATAATTTGCTTGTTAAAAAGATTGTTGTAACCTCCCTGTTACAACGAATCAAACTTTTTCTTAAGTTTTGGCAACAACCACATAGTGCAATATAAACTTTGTCGATCTGTCTAGTCAACTGTCAATTTTAAGCACTGCTTTAGGTTCTACATCAAAGTTAAAATTTCGATACCAAGTCTCGTTCGAGGCAAATGGATTTGTGAGTCTTATCGAAAGTGTAATCGCAGAGCTTTCAATCTCTCGCATAACTGCATCTAAAGGAAATCGGGGTGAAATTACGTGGAATGCCAGCTTTCCATGTTACTTAATTATTTTCGACGTCGCAGAAACATTTTCCGCACTTTATGAAAAATTTGGTTGACATGGAGGTTTAATTTCATGATATCGTTGATCATTTTTGAAAGAATTTTTCGTTGGGAAAACTCGGCTTGAAGATCCTGGTACACAATTGAGTACTAGTCCTCTATTTGTACCTGCATCCTGAAGCTCCTCCAAAGGTTTGTCCCACTTACGGTGGCCGCCCTGTTCCAATAGCAAAAAACGTATCGCTTTTCATCCGGGAAGCTTCAAGAATGTTGCAAAATACCTCCATCTATTTACAACTAAAAAAAATCCGTTTTGAAGGGCGCCCCTTCCCTCACAAAAAGATCGGGCGCGCTTTTGAAATCGGAGTTTTTTCACTTGCAGATTAGGTATTTTGCTACATTTTTTAATACCTCCTGGATGCAAAATGGTACGTTTCTTGCCACTGTATCAGGTGTATGTATAGACCATTCAAATCCGGCCGAAAAATTGCCGCACCCTGTAATAAAAGGGATCTTTTCCAAAGTCAAATGAGCTTCCTGATTTCAACGGCTGTCCATCCATTATGGAAAAAATAGAAAATTTAGCAAGAGCTAACGGTGACCTTGATCCGAAATGTAAGCAAAAGTAATTTTATGAAACGTGAGGTATCATAAAAGCGTCGCGCTTCGAGCACATACCACGCGAGGCTAGGCTCTTCGACACACGTCAAGAAAGGTACAGTGGGGGACCTGATCCAGTGGCAAAAAGCGTACCATTTTGCATCCGGTAAGCGTCAAGCGCGCCCGCTCTTTTTGTGAGGGAAAGGGCGCGCCCTTCAAACCGATGTTTTTTCACTTGGAGAGGGAAGTATTTTGCCGCATTTTTGATGCTTTCCGAATGCAAAATGGTCCGTTTTTTCACACTGTATCAGGTCTCCCGCTGTATTTTCCCTCAGTGTGTTCAAGTTTGCGGTTCGGCACGAAAATTTTCGATCAACCTTTTCTTTTCCTACCGAAACTTGACTACATCCGATACTAGTCCGAAATTCGTGTCCTTGTTAGAGTGGTTTTCGTGGCATGCACTGTCCGAAAACAAACGTTTTTTACCTGCAATTTGTCGCTTTTTGCACCGTGCAATAGGCTTTTTTGGGCTGCTGCACCCTCATTTTTTCTGCACAGTACAAATGCCAAAAATTACTCCGGCGACTTCACAAACGGGCCGGTATTAATTCCTGAATAAATTCCTGAATAATTGTTTCGTACACAAAGTCACAAACTTTTCATGAATTACCGAAGATCTTGCGACCTCGAAAAAATTTCCACATCATTTCACCCAGATTTTCTTTGTGAGAATGATTGAAAGCTCTTAGATTACAGTTTCGATAAGACTCACAAATCCAAAATTTACTTGCCTCGAGCTGGGCAACGGTGCTTGAAATTTGATTTAGCACCTAAAACAGTCCATAAAAATGACAGCGGATCGGCAAATTTTATATTGCACTTGAAGTTTGTTGCTATGAGTTATGCGAAAGATTGGAACCGCACGAATTGCACTCTGTGCGATATAATCTCGCCTCCGCCGGCTTCTCTGTTGCTTCCTGCTCACAAAAATCGAGGGCATGACGAGGGTAGTCGACACCTTGTAGCCTTAATGTTGAATTTATCAAGACGGCACCAGTTCCTAACGGGGTCGCTACGACTTCTCGGGCCAGCAACAGTTCGGGGCAACCATTTTATCGATCGATGGAACTGGTTGACGAGCAGGCGGAAACTGCACTCAAAGGCAGTAATAAAGCCCAATTTAAAGAGGGATTTACTGATGAGGTACAATTGGCAGTTTCATAAAGTTCCTGGGGCCTGTCCCACAAAGAAAGCGCAGTGCGATTCACGAATTGTAAAATCATGAAAAAGAGAGAGGGAGAGAGAGAGAGGTGAGATAAGAAAGTGGTCCCTCTCGGAAATCCGCTGTACGGTTTTTTTGTGCTAAATACCGGCAAATTTTTTACTTTATTTGCCGTAACTTCTTGAAATGACATCCGATTTACATGACTTTAAAAACCCATGAACAGAAAGGTAACTTTTTGAAAGACACACAGCCTCAAGAAAGTGTAAATTTTGTTACCGAAAAAACAGCATAAATGGAGGCATCATCGGCGTCAAAAATAGGTCTTGCACAGTGCTGGCGGCTTTTTTGTACTGTGTAATGAACAAAATTTTCGGCAATTTCCCCAGTCGCCGCATCGCGCAAACATTCGGTGCCGCTTATTTCCGGGGTTGCGATTTTGATGCGGCGGGGAGGGCGGTTCGCTTTCGGCCAGACGGATTCTAGTCACACAAAACGGAAAAAAAATCTACGCACTGAAACGGCGTACAGCTATTATAGTAGCGCCATAAAGTCTATACAATTTATTAGGCGGCGTCGCGGGGTGCGTACGCAAGTAAGTGAATGTCGCTAGTGCAAAAAAGGAAGTCGCAGCGGCGAGGGTGCAAAAACGCACTGTGGAAGTCCTGCGGACTTTATGACGTGACTAGTAGTCCCAAAGTAAATGAGGGTGGTAAAATTTCCGCCTTGCCTCTACCAAAGAGCACAGCATTGCCATAAAGGCGTCAATTTTGTTGCGCGGAAGAGGCAGAAGCCTCCAACTCTAACGTGTTTTTTGTTGACAATTCTCAGCGCGACCTAGTTCTTGGCCCTCCCGAAGAAAACCGTTTGGAGGCCAGTATGCTTTGTGCCAGATAAGAATCGCAGAAAACAAAATGCTTTTCACGTGTTTAGCCCCGCGGGGAAGGTTGGGAGCAACGTTGCAGCAAACCGTATACCCCTTGACCTCGTGCATTCCATCCGAACCGCTGATTAAATCAGCCGCAGCAGCGTTCACAGGCATAACTTGCGCAGCTGGGACCGTTCGAGAAATGGCCTTGGGAATGGCGAAAAGTCAAAAGTTGTTGCGATTTTCGGAAAAAAAGGTTGTTTGTATTACAAGGGAAATACCCCGCGTACTATTTCCCTATAATTTTGCACAAATTTCAAGCATAAGCCATGTGAAAATTCCTGCAAAGTTCGAAATCGCGCTTGGCAGGCACCGCCGATATATTCAATGATTTTTGCGGCCGAGAGAGCACGCGAAACGCGGAGAGCGGAGGAGGAAAGAAACACTTTTTGGCTCTATACCCCTTCCAGTTTTCTACGAAAAAAGTCTATTTTGAGCTAGGATTCTCGCATATATTTTAGGAAAAATTATTCTCGATCTACCCGCAGGCTATTGCCATCGACACCTTCACAGGTGGCCATAACCGACCCAAGCGGTTCCAAACTTCTTGTGGCCCAGGGTACAACGCCTATGCGCCCTCCGACCTTGATAAATATTGCTTACTGACGAAGGTTATGCTAGCTGGGAATGCTATGCATGACGAAGCGCACCGTTTGATTGTATCTTATCGGGTTTTGACAGGTATTTGCAGGGATTTGACGCTTCAGTCGGGTAACGGACTAAAGCTCAACGTTCAGCTTGCCACCACCTTTCGCCTTGAAGAAATCGGACTCTTTGGTCCGATTCCTTTGGTCTCCTTGCTCTTTGATGGGTTTTTTTCGGCAGATGAATATCATGTTGTTGCACTTTGCTTTTTGACTCCTGCCATCAAAGAGAAAGTAGGTGAGCAACGAAGAAAATGGCACAAATTCTTGAAATTCTGGTGGATGCAGAAGCCAGCTGCCGCACACATCAATCCAGCTGACTTTCTGAACCGTTTTCGTCCATACACCATCGATTCAGTTGAATTTATTTTACTAATCACATGTAAAAATCATGGAGTGAATACTTTGTATTGTCCAATCAATGAAACATCCTTCCGTCGCTGGTTATCGTGCTTTGGTCCTTCTTATACTGGGGCATTCTGTGTGTAGGAGGTGTCCATTACAACAGAATCACTACCAGAACAGTGCATATCCCAAGACTAGCTCCACCTTTTCCTTTTTCCAACCATTTCTCAAACTGCTCCAATTTCCCCTCACTTCGAATTGATCAACATTGACTTTACAAAAATACAATTGATGGCTACTGTCCCAGGCAGGCCCTTTGTGCCCGCAACTGCATATATGGACAGGAAAAACCGACCGCTCTCCGAGGAGAAAAAATTGGAATCCACGCACCATCGGTTGACCAAAAGATTTTACAGTAGGTGACGTGATCCAGTGACAAAAAAAATACCATTTTGCATGGGGAAGTATCAAAAATGTGGCAAAATGCTTCCCTCTTCATTGTGAAGGGCGCGTCCTTTCCCTCACAAAAAGAGCGGACGCGCTTTTGAAATCTGAGTTTTTTTACTTGGAGAGGGAGGTATCTTGCAATATTTTTTCATGCTTCCTGGATGCAAAATGGTACTTTTGTGCCACTGGATCAGGTCACCCACTGCACGCCAAATTGGAAATAGAGATTTCGAGCTGCGCCCAATATTTCTTGATTTTTTTGATGGAATGAATATACATAGTGTTAGATAGTATTGTAACTCTGAGATTTGGAACAATTTCGGGATGTATATTATCTTTAAAATTACGTTGCACAATTTGCCATTTTCAGCGACTTTTATTCATCCTTGGACAGGATTTATGAATGGGCAACAGTTGATGTCCATGGTCAAGATGATTTCACGAAGGCTTGTATTGAACGGGACATTCTTCTGCTGTAAAACGCGTGGAGACACAGTGGTCTTCGTGCGATAACGAAGTTGCACCTCCTTGAAGCCCACGTTGCCGACTTCGTCACATCCCATGGTTTGTGGGGGCTCTACGGAGAACAAGGCCTGGAAAGCTTGCACAACGTTGGCAACGCCGCCTCAGCTCGATGTTTCGGAAAGAGTTCCGACGTGAAGGCCAAGTTCTTCTTCAAATCCCAATTTTTTTCGATGCTTTCCCGGCGTTTTCAAACATAAATTGTTTTTTATTCGAATTTTGGAATCATTTTTCGTTTTTATTTGTAGAGTTTCATTTCCTGACCAGAAAGCAAGGTTTTGTCCCTGCTAGCCAAGCAAAGACAGCCAAACTCTTTGCTTGGCTTTTCTCCATAATTATTGGTGACAAAACGCCACATTGATTAAATTTTAGGAAGGAAACAGCCTACAAATACGCTGGATTTACGGGCGAGGTTGAAAAACCCCTTTGGGTATTTTCCCAAATGTTTATCGCAAGACAACAATCTTTTGTAGGAAAATCATACTCGTTGCTTCGGGAAAACAAACTTCGCATTTGGGGCTCCCAAAAGAGGATAAGAGAGAGAGAGAGAGAGTTTAATTAAATTAAGAGTCAACCTCGAAACATGAACGCTGTCACTGCATAAACGACAGGATGTAACGGATGTTCTAACTCAACAAGCCATGTTTGCCTCCAGGGTTGCTATCAACTTTGAGATCTCGCGATTATATTTTAACGCGCCCTTCCACATCTCGTTCGGAGATTTACGGGCCCATCCTCCAGGTGATTCCGGGGTCCGCTTGCTCCACAGTGGAGCCGGGACCCCACCGCACCTCGGGCTGGGTCCCGTCACGACACCGAGTCCATCGTTGGAAAGCCAAGGAACGTGGGAGAAAGGAGTTCAGTGCCTGAACCTGGGGAGCCGCGGAGCGGTTGGTGGAATTTGAACATAGGCGGATTGACAGTCGGCTGGCAGGATAATTTCCGCCAGTTGAAGGTCTTATCGTTCATACATACATATTATTACATTGTATTTAGATACTTGAATGGATAAACTTGTATCGACGGACTTCGTTGAATTATTGGTTTCTATTGGGTAGTTTCCGTGGGATATCTGAATGGTTTTTGGCCTCGATTGAAGTTCTATCAGAGAATATTGATGGTTTTTCGAACAATTGTGAACTCATAACGTCCCAACAGAATGTCTTTCTTGATTCAGGGCGAAAATCTCGGCTGCCTGCAAGTGGGCGCCCGTCATTTGTCGGCTGAGTTCGTGAGGTCCGTTTTTTGACGGGCCCGAAGCCATGTCTAGTCACCTTCAAAACGTTGCTGAAACTGCGCAGGATCACAGCTCAAGCCGGTTGCCAACACAGCGATTGTTTATTACTGTGATGACAGAGTCTTTGGTTAAAAAACTTGTGAAGATAGAGCCAGAAAAACAGCCACTAATCGCACAGACTTCTACGTTTCGCCGCCTCACGACGCCTTCGATTTCCAATGTTTGCCTCAAGTCTTCCCATTTGCGAATTCAACTTGAATCAAAATTAAGATGAAAAGCCGGTTCCGCATGCAGTTTTCCCCGGCGCTTTCATGAGTTTCAGGAAAGTCATGTTGATATCTGCGAATAGAGATTTAATCGAGAATAATTCAGCAGCCATTTCTTTGGGAAAAGCCTTAAAGTTATTTAGTTTGTCAGTTATGTCGTACACATCTAAGCTTGCCCGACATTATGCGAGGTTATGTAAGTATAGTAATTATTCGGCTTATTTTCACGAATTTGGAATTTTTTTCAGTCTGTCGGAAAAATAATGAGCACAATGTCGCTGCGCCCATCGCTAGGAGGACAGCAATTTGATTTTGCTGCGACAAAATTAATTTTCTCGGTGGCAACGCCATTTTTGATGCGACAAAGTGCTCACTATTTTCCCGACAGGCCAATAACACCAGCAAGTCAAGGCTTCCAAGAGCGACGCTCAGATTTTTCTACAATTTAGCGCACATCTTGGGCATAGACCACATCTTAATTCCTGAGATTTTTAGCTGGCGCTTTGCAGCCGCAGCTAAGATATTGAACGATTTTTGCGGCCGAGAGAGTACGGGAAATGTGGAGAGCGGAGAGCTGAGAGAGAAAAACACTTTTAGGCTATATCCTTGCTAGTTTTGTGCGGAAAAAATTGAGTTTTTGTGGAAACATTACCTTCCAGGGAAGAAATAAGCTTGGAACTTTTTATGCTAAAATTCGCAAAAAAATCACATTTTTTCAACCTTTCGACCTAATGTAAAAATCTCGGTCGTTTCAGTAAGGCATAAGCTAGGAGCCTCGCATATATCCTTTAAAAAATTATTCTAAATTTGTATCAAGTTTCATCAAAATCTGTGCGTCGCACTTGGTGTACTTCCTCTGTAAACCTGCCGTTTCAGCCTTGAAAAAGTTTGGATTTATAAGCCTGACTTTCTTGCTGCCAGCGTCTTTCTTCTTCTACGCATTTCTGACAGGCGATGGCTACAATTACACTTACATTCAACTGCCCAGAATCGATTATAACAACAGTTTTGAGCTGCCGATTGACCGCCGATACAGCAGTCGACAGATAATCTTGGTTACTCCAACGTTTGCGCGGAGCGATCGACCAGCGGACATTTTGGCGTGGGTTTTGAGCAATTTTACTCTTTTGAGTTCATGTAGAGATTGCTGATGATGAAAGGAAGGTGTCTTTTAGGGAAAGTACTTCAAGTGTGACGCTCAGATTTTGCTGTAATTTGACGCAAATTTCCACTGGTTTTTTCTTGAGACATATACGAAGTAGACTCCCAACTCGCACCTTGCAGAAACTAGCGAGATTTTTACATCAAGCGTCGGCAAAAAACATGACAATGTTTTTAGAATTTTGGCTCGAAAAGTTTTATGACTATTTCTACTATAGATATTGTGTCCAATTACTTGCCCGGAACTGAAAAGACACCAAAAAGTGTTTTTCTCTCCCAACGCTCTCAATATTTTTCACATTCTCTCAGCTGCAAAGATCCTTGAATATCTCGGCTGCCCTTGCAAAGCGGAAGCTAGGACTCTTTTAGTGAATAGAGTACAGTGGAGTACCTGATCCAGTGGCAAAAAACGTACCATTTTGCATCCAGGAAGTATCAAAAAATGTGGCAATGTACCCCCTTCTCCAGTGAAAAAAACTCAGATTTCAAAAACGCGTCCGCTCTTTCTGTGAGGAAAAAGGGCGCCCTTTAAAACGAAGTTTTTTCACTTGGAGATGGAAGCATTTTGCCACGTTTTTCGAGGCAAAATAGTACGTTTTTTGTCACTGGATCAAGTCGCCCACTGTATACATGAGAAATGTATTGCGTTAAGAAATGAGCGTCACTCTCGTCAGTCCGCCCTTTGCTAACGAGGTCATTCAGATTGCAAATCCGACCGGTATATTCTCAGTCTCCATAGTCGAAAACGGTTAAGTTTAATACAATTTTGATGTCCAAGCCCTGGTTTGATTTCGAGAAAACCGACTTTAATCTTCGCCCTCAAAAATCACAATAGTCCTACTATTTATTTTTATCCGCAAGAAGCCTCAATCATTTGTTTTTAGTACCGCGTATGCACTGATGAGTGTGCCCAACCATTTCTGGCTTCTCATCGAGGACAACAACACAACCGCTGCGGTCGTGCGCAAAGCCCTCGAGGACAAGCCCATCAAGTACGCGTATATTGCGCATCCCAACGACGGACTGCCGTGTAAGCCTTGTTGTTAGACAATCAAGTTTTTTACGTGTTTAGGCAATGGTTGGTCGCAATACAACCGCGCCTTCGACTACATCCGACAAAACAGAGACCGCTTTGACCCGAATGCCGTAGTGTATTTGGGCAACGACAATGACGCATATGGGCTTGACCTCTTCGAGCAGTACGTTCGGCCGGTGAAGAGAATCGGTGTGTGGCCTGTGGGTGAGCAATTCGACTCTCTTTTTCTTCTTTTATTGAATGAATCTGGAGGGCGGGCGCACACTTGCGGGCAACCACTTTGCGGGCAACCAGTTTGCGGGCAAATTTTTTGCGGGCAGCCACTTTGCGGGCAGCCGACATTTGCGGCCAGCACCGGCATTTGCGGGCAGCCTCGAACATTTGCGGGCAGGGTCGACAGTTGCGGGCAGCCTGGAAGATTTGCGGGCAGCCGACATTTGCGGGCAACCGAGACCTGATTGTGAGGGTAACAGGGTGGACGTGGAAAAATTACTATGATATTTTGGAAATTTGCCGACATTTGCGGGCAGCCGACATTTGCGGGCAACCGGCACTTGATGATAACAAGGTAGAGGTGAAAAAATTTCTTCGATATTTTGGAAGTTTTCCGACATTTGCGGGCAGGCAATACTTGCGGGAAGCCGACATTTGCGGGCAACGGTTCCAAAAGTTCCTATACAGCATGTGTGATTGTTTTTTCCTGTTGCCCGCAAATGTCGGCTGCCCGCAAGTGTCGGCTGCCCGCAAATGTCGGCAAATTTCCAAAATATCGCAGTAATATTTCCACCTCCACCCTGTTACCCTCAGGTGCCGGTTGCCCGCAAATGTCGGCTGCCCGCAAGTGTCGGTTGCCCGCAAGTGTCCCAGGCTGCCCGCAAGTGTCTCAGCTGCCCGCAAATGTTTCAGCTGCCCGCAAATGTGACCCCCAAATTTTGCCCGCAAAGTGGTTGCCCGCAAAAAATTTGCCCGCAAACTGGTTGCCCGCAAAGTGGTTGCCCGCAAGTGTCGCGACGCCATCTGGAGGATTAATGAAAAGATATTCTTTTTTTAGGGATAACCAATTATCTCCTGCAATTACCCAGAGTTAGCAACGGAAATGTGGTGGGATTTGCGAAGACGTTGAAGGCTGCCAACCATCTTGGCGTCTATTTTGGGGGATTCGCTTTCCACATCAGCTATTTGCTGTATAACAAGTAAGTCGTGGGTGCATATATTGCTGATGACAGCATTATATCTGATGATATATGCAAGATACTTTGACGGGGACCTTGAAAAATGATTCAGATTGGGTTTTTGAATAAAGAAAGGGTCAAAATGTAGAGGCTTATTTTCTAGGCCGTCCGTAAACCCTCTGAGACAATTTCTCGGCTTTTCAAGATTTCACTATGCAAAAAAAAGTCATGGTTTGAGTGACAACCCAAAGAAGCCTATTCCACGGTGTAAAAAGCGAGAATTGCACAGTGCACAGCGGACTTCTGTTTTCTCACAGCGTATGTCGCCGAAATCACTCCGGCGACTTTGCGAGCCGACTATGTACAGTGCGGGACCTGATCCAGTGGCAAAAAACGTACCATTTTGCATCCGGGAAGGATCAAAAATGTCGCAAAATGCTTCCTTCTCCATATGAAAAATACTTCGTTTTGAAGGGCGCGCCTTTTCCCTCACAAAAAGAGCGGGCGCGCTTTTAAAATCGGAGTTTCTTTCACTTGTAGAAGGAAGCATTTTGCCACATTTTTGATACTTCCCGGATGCAAAATGGTACGTTTTTTGCCACTGGATCAGGCCTCCCACTGTAAATATTGTCAAAGCGCGGCCCCAAGGTTCCACTGAACGAGGAAATGTGCCGTTTATGAAGACCCAGGCTTTATGTCCCCGGATTGCACCTAATCTTCAATTTTGAGTTCCTTAAGCCGTAACATTTACGTTAATGAATCACTTTCTGAATGAAATTTGCTAAAAATAGTATGGATAAGGGGAATCCCAAATTTAGGAAATTAAAGAGCAAGTATAATATAGCGTTGTGATGTTGTGAGCTTAGAAATCTTATTTTTTCTTGGAAGAAATGAGATGATATTAGTCTGTCGGGAAAATAATGAACGCAAGCAACGGCGACGTTCAAAAACCAGCCCGAACTTTCGATCGATTTTTCTCATCGGCCGGGCTTACTCCGCAGCTGAAAAATGGTTCTTTTTACTAAAATTGGCCTGCTCTGTCCACCTGAACTAGTCATTTTCCCCAACGCTGGGAGAATTTCAGACCATTCCTCTTTACGCCAAAAAGCTTTGAGGACCTTCCACATCCGCTATCACAAAGAATAGGTCATCTAAAACACCCCCACTTTCAGTGTAAAGCTCACAACGGACTGCGCGGGCCTCTATGGGGAAGAATGCTTACTAAAGCAGCTAAAAATCTCAATGGAGGATTACGAACCGTACGGCATAAGCGCCACCAAGCAAAACGTCCAAATGTGGAGAAGAACAACGCCGACCATGTTCAACCGAAACTTTCCCAAATTCGGATACCTCACCGACACCGTACCGGCGTACGAACCGATTCGACATGAGATGTGCGAAAGGTTCCGGAGCATCTACAAGATGACCAAAAGCGAAGCCAAGGAGGCAGCAGCAATGATAAACCAAACCTGGGACCCGGCGGTGCGAATCCCGCCGCCTGAGCCGGTTTGGGATATTTATTATATCTCGGGGATGCGTTGAGGTTGTAATATATTTGTTAGTTGAAAAAATAAAAAAATCTGAATATTAAAGTTGCATAACAACAAAATTTTAAAAAATGTGATAAGATTGAGTTGGGATGACGAAAAACCAACTTGAAGGGGAAGTATCCCAAGTGCGACGCTCAAGTTTTGATAAAACATGGCACAAATTTAGAATGACCTTTTGTATGGCATATGCGAAAATCCTAGTGCGCGCTGCGCAGAAACAACCAAGATTTTCAGGTGGAAATGGGGAAAATATAAAGTTTTTTTTTGCAAATTTTGTCATGAAAAGTTTCATGCCTATTTCTACTGTAGATGGTAGTGTTTCCGCAAAAAATCAAGCTTTTCCGCACGAAACCGACAGAGATATGGCCTAACAGTGTTTTGTCCTCTCTGACCGTTCTCCGACTTCCGCGTACTCTCTCGGCCGCAAATATTGTTCCATATCCCAGCGATGCCTATAGGGCGCGAGCTAAAACTTTCAGGAATTCATGTTTGGTCTATGCCGGACATGTGTGCAAAATTATTCATAACTTGCAACAATTTACCAACAAATTTGTATAGTAATATGAATTTTGCATAAATCATTTTCACACAAAAATTTGCGTATTTCAAAAACCCCCAAAATGAATAAATATCCAATTTATTAACAGTTCAACAATCAACATGGCGTTTAAATTATTGCGTGGTATGGTATTTGCCCGTATAAAAAATTTTGAGATCTTGGTACTTACAAGTGATATGTGAGATCAGCAAGAGATACAGAGACACGGAGAGATCGTTGCAAAATTATGGCGGGATATTCGTATATACAGAGTTGATACATATACAATTTGAGAGTATTTGGAACAAGATGACTCAAAAAAAGATGCCCTGAGGGCATGTTGTAAATGTGGGTTGAAACCTAAAGTTTCTTAGACCAAAACCCGGTCCGGAATGAGTTCGTTGAGCGCGTTGCAGCTGGAGTTACGTGCCAGCGTTGGGATGGGGGTTGTGGCGCGATACGAAATGGTACTGGAGCGTTCGCGGATCAGATGCTGCGATTCTTCGAGACGTTGTCGGAAGCTGATACTGAGCTGTCTGGAGCTGTTGGTCTTCGAGAGAACGGAGCGATCGTAGACGAATGTGGTCAGGTAGAAGGACTTGAATGCGAACTGAAAATTAGGGGAGATTAAAATATGCAAATTTAAAGTTGGTATGCAAATTTGAATATGCAAATTTTTTGAAATAAAATTTGAATGAAATTAGGCATTTCGACAAAAAATTATTTGAAAATTTGAATATGCAAATTTAAAATTTTCATAATTTGAATATGCATATATATGCAAATTTTTTTGACGTAAAATTTGGCCGGGATTATTTATTTTCAATAAAAAATTATTTCGAAATTTAGAAATGCAAATTAAAAATTAAAAAATTTTTAATATGCAAATTATTTTAATTATCGTGATTATCCAAATGCAAGTCAAAATTTCATAAAAAACCCCGACAAGGGATCCGAGACCGTTTCCGACCCCCAAAAGCATATTTTAACACAGGATTAACGGGCCCGTTAACAAGATTAGACGCCGAATTCGACATGCTAATCGAGACTAGACGGCTTTCAAAATTCTTCCGAAAATTTTAATTGCCCAATGACACATTCAGCTCATCTTGGCTCGTAAATCTCACCTGTGCAAAGTACAGGGCCTTGGTGAGGACGGCAAGGGCGGCGGGGAAGACGGCGGGCTGAACGAACGGAAGGCCGGCCGCAATCCCGAAGCGGAGGAAGTTTTCGGGGAAGTTGAGTAGGATACAGGAGCCGGTGATGACCAAGAATCGGTGTAGCGACTTCCTCTGAAAACACAGACAATTAGTTTTGGCGAAAAAACTGGGGGTAATCGGAAAGTGGACGGGACAAATTGGCCAAAAGCCAAAGACTTTTGGGCGAAAAATCTCGAATATTTTGGGTGAAAAATCCCGAATTTTTGTAAACGGCATGCTATGTGGAAGGCATAACACTTACACTCATTTCACGTACCTTCTCCGCCGCCGGCCGATTGATGACGATCTGCAGCATGGGGTCGGCCAATCGCGACTGAATCCGACAGCACAACACGCTCAGGTCCATGTACAACACCAGAATGGTGGGTGTGAAGAAGCTCAGGAACACATCGGCCATTCGATGGGTTCTGGCGGTCGCCGTGTAGTCCTGGTAGCACATCTGCGACTTGGGGTCGTAATGGACGGTGGCCATCAGAAAGGAGTTGAAAAACGAGACCAGCATGAACGTCACGCCCATCACCATGCATGGCAATCGCCATAATGTAGTATATTGCAAAGGACGACGAGTGGCGAGGAATCTGAGCGCCGACATCAGCCACCAACACCACATGGACTGCGTGTAGGCGGTGTGCGCCACAAACGAAATCAGCGGACAGAGAATCTTCATCATGCTGGTGGGAATGATGGCCGACATGTTGGCGGTGGTAAAGTGGGCCATCAGAGAGCCCAAAGAGATGAGATCCGCCACGGACATGACGAACAGACAGATGCCGATCCCATTCCGATACTGTAACGGAAATTATTACATTATATTTTCTATAAAAAGAAATGATTTTACATTTTTCTTTTATTTTTTTGCCATTGTCTTATATTTAGCCTCATTTATTATGCCAATTGCATTAATAGCCCTTTTCGGCGATCCCACCAACTTTTCTGCATAACAAGTATCTTACACCAGGAAGTTTTTCGCACCCAAAATCCACTCGAACATCATCCCATGGCCCCGAAAAGACTCTCAATCCACATTTTTCTCGGCTAATCCGCGCGTATCCACGGTAATACTTTTATTTTGCGGCACACGTGCTGCGGAGATGGTAGGGGATTTGGTGTGGATTTGGGGATGTAAACAAGTCGTACACAAAGAAACTCGGAGAGTTTTTTTGGATTTTTTGTTGATGTAAATATATTTTTGAGAGAAATAAAAAAAAATGAAAAAAATTTGGCATTGTCAAAAAGTAAAAAATAAAAAAAATTTTTTTTTTGAATTTTAGTATGCAAAATAATAAAATTAATAAAAATTATACAAATTTTTATTAATTTTATGCAAAAATTCTTAATTCCCTTTGTAAACCAAAAAAATCAAAAAAAATTTTTTTTTGATATCTTATAATTTTTTCAATTTTAGCCAAACTTTCAAGCCCTAAAATACCGTCTGACGTCCGAAAATCTCTTTGAACTTGCCCCCTAAATTTAGATGAGATCTCCTCCGGACCATAAGCCAATTAATCCGTAGAGGTTAACGCACACCAAACAATTAACGTTTCCAAATTCGACTCCTTTCTTCCATTAATCTTGCAAAAGTTTGTGGCATTTTCCTAATGTGCAGAAAAACGAGAGATTTATTTTGAATTTATGGATTCCAGTATCAATAGCCTAAGGCATCAGAGGTCAAAATTTGGGAGAATAAAAAAATTTTTTTTTTTGATTTTTTTTATTTGTAGTGTGAAAAAATTTGTGTAATTTTTTGAATTATTCAAAAAAATTCTTATTAAAAGTATCGCTAATATAATTTAAGGGTTATAAAAAGAACTGCTTTGTATCTCATTAGTAATTATAAGTCCAATTCTTGCACAAAATGATGACATGAAGTAAAGTGCAAAGAATTTTCGCAACTTGTGTTTTGAAGAAAAAAAGTCCTGAAATTTGTTTACGAAAAGTTTTGAAACCCCCTATAATTTTATTTTTTTTATTTCCCTACAATTTTTAATTGTATTTTTGACGTAGTAGAAGCCTTTACGTGAAGATTATTGTTTTTTTCAAGCAGTTGGAAGGGGCGATTTTCTCAAAATTTATGACAAATGTAATGGCAAAAAAAATTTGTTTTGGCAAAAAATTTTTGATGACTAAAAAAATTTTATGACCTCTAAAAAACTTACTTGTTCCGGATTCCGATTATACAGTCTGCGCATTCTGTAGATGACGAACACATTCATTGCGGTCCCAACTAGTGTGATCATGAACGCATGTATAAGGTAGATGCCTTGCAAAGACGCCGTCGTGTCCGACGTCGACCAACCGGCCTGCATCATGCTCTACGGGAATTGTGGAAGAGTTTTGGAGGCTTAGAAGGCGAACTAAAATACAATTTTCAGTAATTTTTTTTGGAGGGTTGCAAACACGCGCTCGTCGGAGAGTAACGGTCAAAGTGTAATAGATATGGTACAATGAGGGCAAGATTTGGGTTGTATAGAATACAAATTATAGAAAATTAATTTTCAAACTCTTTTTGAAGCTCTAAAAATTACAAAAGATCAAAAAAATGAGCAAAATTTTTTTTCTCCAAAAAAGTATCAAAATCCTTTAAAAAAACGCCAAAATGTCCGGCGCTGCCAAGCCAAGCCCAGTGCCATTTAACGAATGTAACGTACACCGCGAAAAATGTAATTTAGCAGCGGAGGATTTACTCCAAAGATTAATACCTACCTCAAGACCCGCAGGCACGGCGAATGATTCCATTACCCGCCTCAAAGAATGAAAAATATGGAGAAAGAATTATAATTGAAAGCAATTTGGAAATCTCCGGAAAAAAGGGGAGGTTTCGAAAAAATATATTTCCCAAAAAATCCCGAAAATTTTTGCCGCCAGACCGCTTGTAAACCGCCATTTAGCAGGTGTACAAGTCGACCGGAGACCATCCCAAATCGCACGTTGGCTTATACGATAAGAGGAATCGAAATTTCAGACCGGATTTCCCTCAAGATTACGTCAAAAACTTGTTCGAACTTTCCTGAACCCATATATAAAACAGGGGGCCAACTGTTTACAGCGCATAAAACCTTCGAAAAGTCCCGTCTCCTCGGGATAAATTTGCGGGGAAAAACCGGTCGACGTAACCGAGTTTTTGCACCGCCCTTTGGGTATTCGGTACAGAGGAGCGGAAAGCCGGCGGCTAAGTTAATTTAGCTCCCACTCGACGCTCCCCGCAGCAACATGAAATGTAAAATTGGGGGCCGCCGGTTGAAAGTACAGTGCAAAGTTTGAGGGTGGAAGCGAATGCGGAAATTCTGCGGGGGTAATTCGCGGCTCAAAAAGATGAGAAGAATTCGGTTACGGTGCTGGAACGTCTGCAAAGTACCCGCGATTTCGTTAAAAATTTAGTCTATCAGTCTGTCGGGAAGATAATGAGGGCAATGTCGCTCAGCCGATCGCGGTCTGAAGTGAAAAGCAATTTGATTTTTCCGCGACACAATTTATTTTTTCGATGCGATTTTCCATGCGACAGAGTGCTCATTATTTTCCCGACAGACTGAGAGCAATAAACCTGAAAGATTTCTGCCACAAAATACAATTTTCCATGCGACAGAGTGCTCATTATTTTCCCGACAGACTGAGAGCAATAAATTTCTACCACTGATTTCAGTGTAGCGAAAAGCTCCAAAAAATCGCGAGAACCCCGTTTCCCACCAACTGTATACGCCAATGTACGAAAAAATTGTACAAAAGACATTAAGAAGTTTGTGGAAGGAGCCTCAACTCACATACAACCATCCCTTTCACACGTTTTTCTCCCGATTCAATTTGCCTTTTTCTTTGCATATCCAATTAGAACATATGCAAAACAAAGTGTTGGGAAATCCACTACATTGCGCTACAGGTGCGGGGAAAAACAGTTGGAGAATGCGGGCTAATTAAGACCGAGTTTGGAGAGGGTCGAAAACAATGGCTCCAAAGGCAATGCAATTCCGGGAAACAGGTCATTATGTGGACCAGGAAGAGGAGGGCAGTTAAGCATGCCCATGAATTATATTAGTGCTACTTTTTGGGTCTGTGAAACGTCAAATTATGAATGTTATGAATCCAAAGAATGTTGGAGTATGAACCATATATAATATCTTGCAAAAAGTATCCGAAATACCCTCGAAAAAGGTTAAAAAAATCTTCAAAAAATCCTACCAGTCTGTCGGGAAAATAGTGAGGAATGTCACTTCGCCGATCTTATTGCTAAAAATGAAAAGCAAATTGATTTTGCCGCGACACAATTCATTTCCCCGACGGCGATGCGACATTTCGGCCATTACTTCCTCAACAGACTGATATCTTGGATGAAAGACACACCCGCTAGCCCCACCTTTCACAACGAAAAATACAACACACATGCTCGAGAGGCCGGCGGAATCATCCAAGTCATCCAATCCATTAATCCGAAATAATCCCTTCGTGAAAGGGGCGGCCCCATTCGGCCGCTCAATGTAAATATATGTAAATCGCACACGGGGAGGAATGTAAACATGGATAATACGGTATTACGACACATGGCTTACGGCGTACCGACTTTTTTGGAAGGCGGTGTTGCCGGGAACCGCGGGCCCTTTTCATTTTTCGCACGACGTGTTTTGTATGGTAAACATGTTGTCAGGATGCAGCTTCCGGCGAACAAGTTCTCCGCTCTGTCAAAGAATGCCGAGAATTGGGAAGGAAAAGGCATGATAGGGCAAAGCGTTTTGCTTCAGTGGGCGCTCGTTTCCAGACAATCTGACTATTAATACATTCAGAAAGTGCAGGCCCATTTTGGTCGCGTCTGCACCGTGCAGAACGGAAAAACCATTTCGCACTGTGCATTCCAAGTTTTTTTGGGTTTCGCACTGTGCATTCCACTTTTTTTGGTTTTCGCACTGTGCAAAATATCGCTGCGACAAAAAGCAAGTTTCAAGTCGCAGCGTCGGCACGAGAAGTTTGCACAGTGCAAAGGGCTTTGTTTTTGACGTCTGCACTGTGCGAAAAGACAAAGTGCACTGTGCGTTCGCGACATTTCCTCAAAAAAAGAGCGGGCGCGCCCTTCAAAACAAAGTTTTTTCACTTGGAGAGGGAAGCATTTTGCCACATTTTTGATACTTCTCGGATACAAAATGGTACGTTCTTTGCCACTGGATCAGGTCCGCCATCCAGTGGCTGTATTCTCCCGACAGACTGATATTAGAGTGTTCGGTCAGCTACGCCCCTGCATTAAAGCTCAAAAACCTCACTTAACCGTGATCATCACTGCACGATAAATATACCGTCACTCATCAGGGCCCTCCACAAGCGTGGGAAAAATTCAAAATGCACTGTGCAAATGTAAAATAATGCCATCTACTTTATGAAAAGAACACCTTTTTTTCAAAATCATTGGGTGTCAAAAATTTCTTGGTTTTTTGTGACATAGGCCTTCTGGAAAGTCGCCTGACTGAAATCGGCGACACTTACCGTTATAAAACAATGTTTTTCTTTGCTCTGAGCAATTTCTTGCTGTTTGCACCGTGCAAAAGGCCTTGTCGGCTGTCGCTCACACCCTGACTTTTTTGGCACAGTACAAGCGTCAAAAATCAGTCCGGCGACTTTCCGGAAGGACCAGTCTGCAACAAATTAAAATTGAAAAAAATTGGAGTATCTCTTGTGAATTTCCCCGGAAAACACCCACATTTCTTTTCTTGCTGTCCGATGCTGCCTACAGTTATTCACCTCAACCGGCAAATCAACAGATTTTTAGACCGTTCCAGTTTTCTTGCTTTCCTGAAAATTTATTGAGCAGCCTCAACACCTGGAGAACCCGATTTGACAAAAAAGTTAAATCGGCCCTTAGACAGGACTAGAAAAAAAAAACAGCCATCCACCTTCCCGACTAACCCTCTTCAGACTATTTTTCTCTGAGCGAAGGTTCCATAATCCCGCGAATCCATTTCCATTTCCACACGAACAACAGTATCCTAATAAGACGCTCGGAAAACATTCCGAAACTTTCAGTTCTTGATCCGCTTACTTGCAACCCATTCCCGGTTTATGACAAACCAAAGGCGCTCATCAGCCCCGTAGACGGCTCAAAAATAAACTAATCTGTTGATGGAAGCTCCCGAGCCGGTCAGGTCCCCTACTTTAGAACATTGTTGTCGCTCCAAAACTAAGTCTACATTTTTCGCATACGCAGAGGAAGGCGTCACAGCCATAAATAAAAAATGAAAGCGGATCCAGACGGAATAAATCGTAACAGTAACAGTAACGGTGTTGTCATGTTGAGATTGTTTTTGGCAATGCGTGTAAGTGTCACTGAAAGATCTCCGAAATACCTTGGAATATGGATTGGAACAGTCTTTTTTCACCGTTGTAAAAAAGGGCCGTATTTAGGGGGAGAGGATAAGGATGTGCACGTCAAAAAAAGTCTCTCAGAAAAGTGAAAAAACAAGGAATCACGGATCATCGATTTTTTGCGAAGTGCCACGAAACTATCGAGTTCGAAAGTGAAGTGCCAATATTATCAAGTTCGAAAGAATTTTTCTCTTCGAAAAACATTTTTCTCGAGAAAAAATTTTTCTCTCGGAAAGTTTGTCACTCGATAATTCGGCGACATTTCGTCAAAAATCAATGATCCGAGATTCCTTGTTTTTCCCTTTTTTTTAACGTGGGATGCCTTCTGGGTAGGAAAACATGGTAAGAGGGTACCAAGATATATCTTATATATCTCGGCCGTCCCTGCAAAGGGCATTATGAGACTTTGACAAATTGATATGCGGTCTATGCGTTGCGTGTGTGGAAAATTAAAGGAAATCTGAGCGTCGCATTTCCTCCGTATCAGTCTGCTAGGAAAATAACGGCGGATCGTCAAGCCCTGGAATCGCCCATTGGCGGCTAGCCCTCTTTGCAAAGGGCTAGCCGCAGCTGGAAATTTAGGTGCATGACTGAGCCACTTTTGCAACGAGACGAGACATTATGCTGCGACGACCCGCCACTATTTTCCCGACAGACTGATATTAGAATGTTTGGTCAGCTACGCCCCTGCAGTAAAGCTCAAAAACCTCACTTAACCGCGATCATCACTGCATGACAAATATAGCATCACTCATCATGGTCCTCCGCTTTTATTAACAACCAAAAAAAAGACTAATTCATCAAAAAATACTGCCAAATCCTCCACGAAAAACTTGGCGCGGCAACCATAAGCGCAGCATTTCTGCAGACGAAAAACACGACAAACGATAAATAAAATATAGGCATCAAAAAGTTCGGCCTGGAGACAAGTGCAAGGAATTTTAATCTCAAAAACAGATTAGTCATCATC